ATGTCAATAATTAAGAAATGACGTTGTATCTTGTCCACTGATGATATTCTTAACGATATAAGCTCATCCTAATGTTACGCTCATCGAGACCTTTCATTTGAATACCCACATGATTGTTTCTAGAAAATCGAGCACACTTTGGCCAACATATTTATTATCGACAATTTAATTAATTAATATTTTTACAAATTTTATTCATTAATATTAAACCGTTGCCATGGTGGTTACCATAGCAACAAAAAGCGATAACAATAAAAACGTCGCATAAGCTTTTTAATAAAAGATTTTATATATATGATATTTCTGATATTTGTGAAATATATGAAATATATAAAAAATTCGTGTGGGATTACAAATGAAAGGTCTCGATGAGCGTAACATGAGGATGAGCTTATTATATCTTAAAAAATGTCAATATTTAAGAAATGACGTTGTATTTTGCCTACTGGTGATATTTTTAACGATATAAGCTCATCCAGGAGTTACACTTATCGAAACCTTCCATTTGAATACCCACACGAATTTTTTATATATTTCATATATTTCACAAATATCAGAAATATCATATATATAAAATCTTTTATTAAAAAGCTTATGCGACGTTTTTATTGTTATCGCTTTTTGTTGCTATGGTAACCACCATGGCAACGGTTTAATATTAATGAATAAAATTTGTAAAAATATTAATTAATTAAATTGTCGATAATAAATATGTTGGCCAAAGTGTGCTCGATTTTCTAGTGTAATTGTAAAATTTTGAACTTAAACTCTGCAAAGTTCAAAAAATTTTCACTGTAATTAATAATCAAGTCTTTCAACTTCTAAAAAGACCAAAAAAAAACATTTGGTTTGAAAAACCAAAAAAAAATTCTTTATTGTTTTTTAACAAGGTGAAAATCAATGTACCGACCTTGAAACAAAATAAAAACAACCCAAAATTGATAAATAGTAAAAAAAATTAAAAATTTACAAACTTAGTTTTCAATAGATCACTGGGAAATTTTCGGCTTAATTACAAAGCGAGTAAATAAAAGATTCGCAGAATAAGAAAGACAATAAAAAGAATATTTCTTTGAAAAAGTGTATCATCCTTGTGTTCTATATTATATTATTCGTAGCGAGTAATTTATCATTTGAAAAGAGATCAAAATTATAAGAATCCTGAAACGAGCTGGTAAAACCCGCCTCACACCTAACGCCTCTTGCTGGTGTCTGACCGAGGCGAGAAAAGCAGGCTAAGAAAATTAGCAATAACCACCTTTTCCAGTTGTTTTGAATAGCATCTGCGGCAAAACAAGGCCGGCTTAGAAGTGTCTTCACAGGTAGTACCGGCAAACCTGTAATTAGAGCACCTCGGGTGTGATTCTAATGGGCCAGCTCAGAGTAACCTTCATAAATCCTGGAGAATTACCGGAGATTTATATCTGAGCAGGCGCTAAACCCCCTGCAGATTTTAATAAATTTCCTCTATTTTATTCTTATTATCCTCACCAGTAAATAAAAGACGGGTCTATTGTTTCTTTAATCTCCGACTACCTCAAAAAAAAAAAAAAAATTGCGCGGATGCGTACGTAAGGATATTCTAAATAGGGATTAAAATTACCTGATAAATAAAAATATTTATCGATGAGTAATTCAGGTTTTATGGATCGTCAAAGCATCAGTCAAACTCCCGGCTATTATGCTGTAAATCATTAGTGATTGTCCGACGAAGTGTAATACTGTAAGCCGCTAGCGTAGGCAGGTAATAATCAATTTGCGTTCGTAGATAACACGCAATAAATTGATTATCACCTATCATCACATCACGAGGTTCAGCATCATCATGAGTAGAGCATAGCTTCAAGATCTGATCAACCGTAACCTATCGCTCTGTCTTCTGTCTTAGTCTTCTGATTATATTACACTCGTTACCTGTTACATGTTGTGATATACTGTGTGCCTTTATGCTGTGAATTTATAAATAAACTCTCTATTCTGTGATTATTATATTCACGATATAATACTGAGATTAAAGTACAGAGTCATTCTCATGTCGTTGACTCATATCACGGTTTACTACTAACTACTTGCTAACTTGTCATCTAATAGTTTAACTGTAATTTTCATTTATTTTATTTCGAGCCTTAGAGGTATATTATGTTTATTAATAAATTTTTAATTGTATTAGAAATTGAACTGAATTATATAATGATTAGGAGATTATAATTTCTAATTTGAAAGCGGGGTAGAGTAATAGACCCGTGAAATAATTTTTATTTCAAAAAAAATTGTTACGTAGCATATGTATGAGAGTTGAAAAATAATTTATTGTACTTTTGTATTTTTTTTAATTAGAATCTTAATTGATATAAAAAATTAAATAGATAAGCTTTTTAGAAAAGTCAAAAATGTTATTTTTATTTTGTAAGTTTATATTTTGAATTTAAGTCTCTTGTTTGGAGAAGATTTAGCGGTCATGCGCCATCTGTTGGCGTTTTTGATAACTATTTTTGATAAAAAAAATTATGTGACTTATAAGGTCATAAATAGACGCTCCAAATTTTATAAAGTAAATAAAATAATAACTAATAAATATAGTTTAAAAGTCACTATCGTGACTTGTGAACTATAAATAAATAAAATTTTGCTTTATTAAATAATGATTTTTGTTAAATTGCACTGTACTTTCTTAAATATTGACGTTTTTAAAGATATAAACTCATCTCGATGTTACATTCATCGAGACCTTTCATTTGAGTACCCACATGCATTTTTTATATATTT